ATGGTCGGTCCTATGCCAGGAACGGCCGGATTGCATTTCAGTTATATAAATGTCGTCTGTTAGCCATTAGTCATGTACCGGAAGAGGCTCATTCATGGGTAGTTCTTCTGGACATCTCTAGATGGTCTATCTCATGACCTAAAACTAACCCTACCAATACTACATTCCCCCCAGTTTTATTTAAAAGGCCCCCTATATTGAGGTGGGCCTGTGAATTCGCCCAAAATCATCGAAAGACTGACATAACACTAAATTTATAGAAAATAGACATCAATTTAAAAAGTATACACCCCCTCCCCCCAACAGACCCTTTGTTTCCATGGGTCTACTTATATAAAGTTAATACAATATGATGTTCCCAACAAAAAAGTAAACTAAATTGTTCTTCTCTGGATCATACATCAGCTTCCCCCTTCCCTTATACAAACTAAGCCCTGGACACTTAGTGGCTGCAAGTCCTCTATATAGTTGGACCAGGAGATTGTGCTGATCCATTATCATTCTTCATCGTTAAGAGTTCGGTATCATTCTTCTTCACTTGTATTGTCTTTATACCTTTGTTAAGGGAGGGATTTTCAGGGTCCCACTGTCTTCTGCCGGGACCCCTTCTAACTGTATCAAAGGTCACATGCAAGACTGTTGTCCCACTCTCTGCGGAGGGTGTCTGCAGATTAAAATACCTAGCGTCAATATTATCAGCTTTGAAAAGTAACTACAATCCCGAATCGGGGCTTTCTGGATTAATGGATGTAGATTTCTGGCTGACGGAAGATTCGACAATGATAACTGTTTCTTTGTAGGGCGGACTGATACTTTCAGTTGTAGCCTTTCCACAATTTCTCCCAAGTGATGAGGAGGCCCAGGAAAGTTGGGACTCCACCTCAGACGGTGAGGGAGATACCACACTGGTAGAAGAGGCCAGTGATGAGGGGATAGTCACAGTTTGTCAGCTTAGATCAGGGACTGTGTTTAGGGTATATGTAAAGGTCAAAGCTTGTTTGCTGTAGTAGATACAGCTGCAGATGTTACTCTCATATCTGAAGAGTGTAAGCGGTTAAGAGCCAACTTCATATCAAACACTCTCCATCTAAATTCAATGATCAAGATGACTGTTTTCTCCGAGGGCAACCTTATCATGATAAAGGTTGCCCAGAAGCCAAAACAACGAGAAAATCTTGAATGGTGTACCCATCTGATATAAGAAACAAGTGGTTGTTAAAATTTCAACGGGACTGCTCGAGAGGCCAGAGTCAGTCTCAAAAAATGAAATAGGGCCTGAAGGCAGGGTCTCCTCCCCGGAAGAGGGCCCTACACTATGACTAATGACAATGAGGAAAATCGAAACCAACCAAAGTGGAACGTGGACCCATTTGGGGTCCTGCCCAATGAATGTTTTGGTTTAAATGATAATGGGGGTCATCATGATATTTTGCACAGTGCCCTTCACAGTCGTGTACAATAATAACACAAGATCGATCAACAATGTTCAAAGGAATATCAGGGATCGGCGTTTCCTACTCCTGTTGTAGATGGAGGAACGACTGAAAATATTGAAAAAAGTCATCCATCCCTCACTTTTGTGAAGGCAATGGCTTTCCTAAATTCTGCTGGACCCTCCTTGTCCCCTGTGAGAACTGCTGGACCATCTAAGTTGCCCAAGTCCAGTTTCTCACCTGAATCTAAATGTAAGGTTCTGAAAAAATAAGTGGGCAGTATGTTACTTTCCTGATTATCCGGACACAAGACCGCCCCGCTAGGCGACCAAAAGAATTCTTAGCCCTCGACCTACGCCCTCTGTACATCTATTTCTACCTCTACCTCCCAATGGGGCTTGAAGCTGTTTGGCACCTTATTTACTAAGTGTATATACTGCCTCCCCATTTTCCGCAACCCCTCCTCTTTTATATAGCCCCATGAAGTCATGGTGGTGTTATGGTAACCCTGAGACGCCTCATGTTTCTCCACTAATGGCATGCCTGGGGTATCCACTACCAAGGAATGCTCATGGTTAGCCCTTATTTTCCAACACCCGCTGTCTGTGTCCCTTATCAAAGTGAACCTTTTATCTACGTCAACCTTCAACAGTTTGTGAATATCTGGTATAGAGTACCCGGCCAAACCTGGGTGCCTTTTAAGGATTTCCTTCACAAACATATACCCACCAGGGAGGAGTCTGTGGCCCAACTTCAGGGCCCCATGCCTCAATATATAAGCAAGAGATTTGGATAAATAGTGGTTTAAACCACCTGATGGAGTTGCCTCTTCGTCATAACTTGATGATTGCTCAGACTCAATCTATGCCACAGGCACTTGTCTCTAAAAAAAATTTCCTATATACCTTAATATAAAACATGGATTTTTTTTTCAGAGACAAGTGCCTGTAACTTGAGCATATTGAATCTAATTACACAGGTAAACTAAGATTTTATAGTAAAATTTGCTCATCATTTGACTTAAAAGCTTACCTTAGCTTTGATATACCAAAATATGAGAGATCACTTCTCACAAAAATTAGAATAAGTGCACATTCACTTGTCATTGAAACTGGGAGATACAGTAAACCAAAAACTTTAGCAACGGAAAGATCCTGCAAACCTTGCGGAGATAAAGTAGAAGATGAAGTGCACTTCCTTTTATATTGTCAACTATATAACAACCTTCGAGAGAAGTTTAATATTTTCCAAAATTTTATTAAGATGATGATATGAAATCAGTTATCTATTTACTTAATCCAAATAATTTGGCTAATACCAAACAAATATGTAATTATTTGTGAAAAGCTTTTGAAGTTTACATTAACGCTTAGTGTCAGTTGGTCTACCATAAGTTATGGAAGTACTATACAAAAATATAATACTTTTAGTTTAATATATATATAGGGTTGGTCAAGGGCCGACAGACTTGCTCGGGAAAGTTTTTGGATAAGAAAGTTAAGGACAGTTTCCCCAGAGGGCATTAATGAAAAAACATAGATTGAGTCCCTACCATCACTTGTTTCCTGTAGTCCTGTACTGAAGCCTCAGTTACAGGAAACAAGTGATGGTAGTGACTCAATCTATGTTTTTTCATTAATGCCCTCTGGGGAAACTGTCCTTAACTTTCTTATCCAAAAACTTTCAGGTGATAAAATATAAAGAATGGAAAATAATGGGCACAATAAATAAAGAATAGAGAAAAATGGTCTTAACAAATAAAGAATTCGGAAATGAAGGATCTCGAGTCCTTCCGATCCAAACCCTCATAGATTACCGTGATTTCCCCATAATAAAAACCGATAATTTCACTCCTATGACGTCATATAGATTTACAAATAGACCGAAAGGTAGTCTTTGCCACTTGTATTTTTTACCTTCTACTGCAAATTGAAAGAGTAGCTTTTCAACCACTAGTAATAAAAACCATGTTCTCCCAGACTTAAATGTCAATCGGTACACGCCAAACAGTTCTCGAATAATGTCGGAATTTCCGTTCACAACTATCAAAACGTGTGCGCAGAACTCGAAACATTGTGTAAGGGAGCAACCATTTAACTTGAAGTTAAATGGTCGTTCCCTAACTAACACACAACGTTGAATCTTGTTTTCTGAGAAAAATATATATGCTTCAACAATTATTATATATATTTATAGATTGCATTGTAATAAAAGATGTAGATGTATATAGAACTCCTAGTAAATCAATAACAAAATTCCTACTATTGAGATGATCTCTCATTTAAATGTCTCAACTGTAGAGTGTAGACTCTCGACTCTCAATTGTCAATTATAAACATTTATCTAACATGTCTACTAAGAACATGGTCTCTCGTCAGCATTAATTAAGCTTATAAATGTACATATTGAAACATTGCGTATATCTACTGATGAAAATATTTAAAGGAAGCACGTGTTTATTTGTGTTCTTGCTTAATTTTAGCCCACATGGCCCAAATTTAAAATAAAATGTTTTTCCTTTCCTTATAACGCCGATAAAGACTGTTTTTGCAGTGAATGTTTACATACAAACTGGGGTTAAAGTTTTTTAATCATTAATAACTTTGTCAAATCTTGGTGCTTGAACGTTTTGAAACTTGAGAAGAAGCTTCTTCATTATCAAGAAAAATCATCTGAAGAATTTGTGTGTTGAAATTGCTTCATCGACACAAAATTTTGAAAGTGAAAACATTTTTTTAACATGTACAGTTTTGTATGTTGCTTATATGTTGTAGTAACAGTCATTATTATGTACTTAAACCTTGTATAGCTTACACTACGGTATGGGTTTTCCTCATTTTTGAAGGTAGTACTATGACCTATGATTGTTCACATCCTGGTCTCTGTTGTCTCATTTCCAATCATACCGCAACTCCTAATTTTTATGTTTGTTGAAAACTGTGTCGAGTGAAAAATAGGTTTTACTCGGGGAAAACAAATTTTGTGATATTCTTGTGGACGAAAAGCAATGTCTTTGTTATGGTTAACCTTTTTAACTCGATGCAAAATTAACAGAAAAGAGTTAATCTAAACCCGAGATTTCTGTGGCGGCCTGTTGTTTTTAATCTAGTAAGAGCAATGCAAACATGACCAACCATTTTAACTAATTCCCAAATACAGGCTGTCGGACATGATAAAAGTCTCATCATTAGTATATCAGTTCCAAGATTACTGATTTTCTTAACGTGTACTATGAGCCACGATAATGTTCAATTTTATTTAGTTTATTATTTTGAAGCAATAAAGATTTTTATTTTACTTTAACACCCGTTTTCAACAACAGCCAAATTAAAAATTATATGACCAACTATACTGCTGGAGGAGACTTCATTGCCATCCTTTAATGATGTTTTTTTTTTCTATATTAACGCAATTCGACTCACGGTTTATTTTTGATTTTCCAGAGTGAAAACAAATATGGCATCATCCAGCACAGTTATATGTGGTGTTTGTGAGTCTCAGCACACGACAACAAAGGCGGACTTCTGGTGCCCTGAATGTGACGAAGGACTTTGTTCCCAATTTTAGAAGCATCACAGTGCATCAAAAGCCACACGTTCCCATGAAGCTATACCTGTCGACAACTATAAACAATTACCTACGCCGATAGCCAATATATCACAACACTGTTCACAGCATGGAAGAAAATTCCAGATTTATTGTCCGCAACATGAAAGTCTCTGTTGTCCATTGTGTACTCAGTCCAATCATGCTAACTGTGTTGGGATATTATCGCTGGAGGAAGTCATACAAACAGCAAAGACTTCAGTCTTATTGGAAAGTCTTAATAAGAATTTGAAAGATATCAAAATAAATATCGAGAGGATCGTTAAAGATAGGAAACAAAATCTTACTGAAATTCAGAAACAAAAGCAGAAATTTCACGTTGAATTAAAGCAGGTCCGTAATAAAGTTAACGAACACCTTGACACTCTAGAACAACGGATACTTCAGGATCTTTATGCTGCCGAAAATAAAGTTAAATCACAAATTGAGGACTTGCTAGCAAAACTTGCTGAAAATACAGAAAATGTGAATTCAATGGAAAATAATATTTTAGCCATCAAAGATTATGCTTCAGACCTTCAATCATTTCTAGGGAGTAAAATGATTGAAACAGAAGTTCAAAAATATGAGATGTTTATACAGTCTTTATTTGACGATGGAAGTTTGCGGAAGATGGACATAAACTGTAAAATTGAGGACAAGATAACCGACGTATTGACAACTGTTGCTTCACTAGGTACAATATCCATCGAATCAAGCTCTGCATTGGTTGTTATGAAGACAGGGAAAGAAACACAAGCACAACACGTACCACCATTTACTATTAATGATATAACAATGACATTACAAAGTAAATTAACATTTTCTAATATCACCGGATGTTCCATTTCTTCTACAGGAGACATCATTCTAATAGACTGCAGCATTAATCGTCTGTTGATTTTTTTAAACGAAGATGGAACCTTTAAGAGTGACATACCTATGTCACATTCGTACCCAGTTGACTGTACTTGTATCGATGACAAGACAGTCGCTATTTCTTTTCCTAATTCAAAACTATTACAAATCTTAAAAGTTTCAACTAAAACAGTTGATCGCACAATAAAAACGGAAGATAAATGCTACGGTTTATGTTACTTGGGTGGCTATTTATTCTACTGTGATACTGGCAGAGGTATTCAGAAAGTAAATATGTCAGACAATTGCTCTTCTACTTTGGTTAAAGACGACACCTTGTCACAATGGAGTTATGTAGCAACATCTAAAGACAGGATAGTTTATACCAATAACTCTTACCATGCAGTAACTTGCTGCTCGTTGGCTGGAGAAAAGATGTGGGAATACAAAAATCAATTAGTTCGTACTCCGTGAGGGATATCTGTAGATAAAGACTCTAAAATTTATATTGCTTCAACTGGTAACTGTAGTCTAATTGTATTGTCGTCGGATGGAAAACAAGCAAGACAGCTGCTTGGAAGTAATGAAGAAATTAGTCATCCTTGTGGACTCGCGTTTGAAGTAACGAAAAAAAAATTATTAGTTGCGAATTATAGTGGAACTGCATTATACAGACTAAGTTGCAATTGAAGTGATGATAACGTAGTTGACAGCTGCAAAGCAGTTTTTGTAGAAATATTAAAATCTATCTGATATCTATTGAAATGACAAACACATTAATGAGTATTAATCACATATATTCATTTTCTTTACTTAATTTCATTTCAGTTATTTGCTTTAGCTTTAAGGTGTAATAATATATGGTGTACAAAACCCTTTACCTGCGCGACTTTCCCTTTTTTTTTTGGGGGGGGGGGGGGGGGGGGGGGGGGGAGGGCATCCCTGGTGAACATTTAAATCTTGAAAAGCGCTTTGTACGCACGAAAAAATAAGTGTTATCATGTTACACGTGACATTGTAATCAATATCCCTGATGACTTTATTTTGTCATGAAAAATTACTAATATTTATTGCAATTCGACTTTCGTTGAAACGTCTATTTTAGTTTCGAGAATGCTATATATAGGCATGCTAATCTGTCGGCTGTGGCGTTGGCTATTTATATTCAGATGGTTGAATACCTGGATACTTCATAACATGTACAGTGACTCATTTCACAAATTTACTCAATATGATTGATTGATTGGTTGTTGGTGTCGTGCTATTTCGTGGCGGTCAGTTTTTATGGTGGGGGAAGCCGTAGTGTCCGGAGAGAACCACCGACCTTCGGTAGGAAAACTGACAATCCTAGTCAATTAAGATTGAAGTCAAGCGAACCTACCACATGTGGGATTCAAAGCTCTCAACCTTAGTGTTGACAGGCTAGTGATACAGTTGTTCACCACTCAGCCACCGAGTCCCCCAAATAAGTATTGAAATTTCCGTACATAACTTACGATCAACTCTAGTGGTAAGATGTTTGGTGAAAAGAACACTTAGTGTTTAATGTTGCGAAGTTTCCGACTGTCATATGTCTATTCTCCTTTTCTTGATAAAGCAACTTCTTAAAACAACTTTTTTGTCAGGTGAACTTATCAGTTATTATGAGAACTATGATAACTATATTCGGTATATCGATTCATTGCAAAGTATACATGTCCGTTGGACAGATTTCACCTGACCTTGACTTCATTTCATGGATGAGTGATCAGTGTTCAACGCAAAGTTTTCGTGATCAAGTCCATTGATACTATACGCAGTATGTCAACTATGTAAAGGTTGGTGTATGAAATGGTTGCAAGATGGGCGTGTGCGTCTGGTATGGTTTATCTTCCCTTGACCTCATTTTCATGGATCATTGCATTGTTCACTGTTAAGTTTTCGTTATTAGATACGTTTCTCGAGACTATAATCCGTATATCAACTATGTTTGGTGTATGGAATTATTGTGAGGTGTACATGTCCATCTAAGATAGTTCATCTGACCTTGACCTTATTTTTATAGACCATTGGTTAATCTGGTATGTTTATTATGTACGATTAAGTATGTTGCGGCCTTTTCGTGAAAACTGTTGATTTTGTGACCTTTTATGTTACTAGTAGTATTGTTTTCTTAAGATTATATCTTTTTAGACATAATACTATTACCTTAACAAATAAAGAGTCTAAAGACTTTTGATATAAATTAAATTTTCTGTCTTGTAATTCTTTGTGGTCAAATAAGTCGCACTTTATATAGGAATTGCGGGCAAAAAATGCTTGACATCAACATTCAGTTGGATATATAATGTTTATTTGTTTGTTCACAGATTAAATGCGAGATAAGGTACCTAAAGTCAATGTAGTGTTTAAAATGCTACTTGGTTATTCTTCCCCTTTGTTCTTTTACTCTAATGGACTTCTTGTTATATTTATAGTATAAAAGAAAACAGGAAATATTTTACACTAGTAATCAGATCAAAAATACTTATTTTGTCAAGATTTACTGCAACTGTATTGATTATTTAAGTGATGAGTAACAGCAATAAAAGTGTCTTTTTTTTTTACATATAGGTTACTTTTAATCATTCATTCAGGGTTTGTCTGCATCCACCACAGAACTTTTCGGTCAAACTCTTCAGTTGTATGATGATATTGACGGTCACAAATTGAAGAGACTTTCCGAACAACTTTAAACACAAGACCTACAATGGAATTCTATGTTAAATATTAAGATTTCCCCTTTAACGGAAAAAGCTTCATCAATTTCTTATTAAAACTCGGAAGATCAAAGTTTGTTTTTACATAAAGAACCAAAAAAGGTCGTTTCAGTATTATAAAATATAGGCCTACATATGAAATAAGTAGATGTTTTATTATTGACAATGAGGCATCTATCCTCCAGTCCAAATGACGTGGATGTATGAAAGAAAGATCACTGTACGGCCCTGAATAATGAGCCAACCCCATTCTGTATTCAATGAACATATTAACTAAATTGAAACTTTCCATACAACGTGTGTGATATTTTCAATTGTGTCTTTCATTTTGTTACGTGTAACGTTCTCTTGCTTACCAAACTGCCTACTGATGGATTTTTGTCATCTTTGACGGTCATTCATGAACATAAATCATTCAGTTGCGACTTCAAGTAGTGAAAAGATATGCATGTTGCATTATCAAGTAAATATGTTCACCATAATATTTACAAATGATTATCACATAACATTAATATTTTAAATTGAAATAATTATTTAAAAAAGCAAAATAAAAATATTTAAATGTTTTAAACACCATAAAAGAACCGTTTACCACTTTTAACGACTAAAATATTTCTCATTATTATTGCAATATAGAACAATTGACAATAAAAGTTTTAGGTGATAGAGTATGTATGCTGGGAAAACGTTTAAAAATTAAGAAAGATGCAAAAGTTCAGATAAACCTGGGTCATGTTATATTGTTTACGATTCCCAGGTAAACCCCGGGTATAACATATCAGTAGTTCAAGGGAGTAGAAAAATATAAATCGTCGCGAATATGTCAAACTTGGACTTTTCCTTATTTATCTTAGTCAAGTAAATTTTAGAATCGCGAAATTAAATTGCCGCGAAGTGGGTTAGAAAGGGCTAAACGCGAAATAAAGTATCCGCGAAAAAAAGTTGGTTTACAGTATATATATGTAAGAAAAGTAATAAAAGATAATAACGGTTTCAATTAATCACATTTACTAGCGCTTTCACTGCTTTCACAGATCTTCAGGTAATATATATATATATATATATATATATATATATATATAAAACGTCTGAATAATAGTCAACGATTTTTCCCACGAGGGCGCTGGATCGTTACGAGTAACGATACATGTGCACAATAAATAAATTATATAAACGCCTAAAAAGTGTACACTTTTTAGGCGTTTATATATATATATATATATATATATATATATATATATATATATATATATATATATATATATATATATATGGGTTTAAGAACATCCGTTGTTCGACCTGCTAGTCAAATGCGTTTTGTTAAAATATACTTTTTCACTTTTTTGGTCTTTTGGAAAATGTTGTTTGTGCTGTATTTAGACCCCTCTACCAAGAAATTTGTTTTGCATGCACACGTATAAAAATTGCGGTTTGTATCCAACGCAATCATAGGTTTGAACGTTGTTTTCAATTTATACTTGTGCATGCAAAACAAATTTCTTGGTAGAGTGGTCTAAATACAGCACAAACAACATTTTCCAAAAGACCAAAAATAGTGAAAAAGTATATTTTAACAAAACGCATTTGACTAGCAGGTCGAACAACGGATGTTCTTAAAACCTGCTGACTGCCATTGGCGATTGCCAAATAAACAGATCACCAGATGTAACAAAATGGATCTTATTCATTATTTTGATACCAAACAGAAAACAATAAGCTTGCGGAGAAGATGGTATACCGCAAACAAAAGGTGCAAAAATTAGTACACCATATCCGGATTTCGACAATTAATGTCTCTTCAGTGATGTTAGGAATCGAAACGATATTTGGAAGGCCATGTAATTTACCTCAATTTAGTATAGACTCTTGAAATTTGAAGAGTCGAAATAGGATGAACAGATCATATAAACCTGAAGGCAAATATAATACAAGCCCAAACGAAAAATATAAACAAGTCTAAATTGAAAACACGTTCAAACCTATGATTGCGTTGGATAAAAACCGCAATTTTTTATACATGTGCATGCAAAAGAAATTTCTTGTTAGAGGGGTCTAAATACAGCACAAACAAAATTTTCCAAAAGACCAAAAAAGTGAAAAAGTACATTTTAACAAAACGCATTTAACTAGCAGGTCGAACAACGGATTTTCTTGAAACCTTCTGACTGCCATTGGCGATTGTCAAACAAACGGATCACCAGATGTAACAAAATGGATCTTAATAATTAATTTAATAACAAACAGAAAACAATAAACTTGCGGAAAAGATGGTATACCGCAATCATGAGGTGCAAAAATTTGTACACCATATCCGGATTTCGACAACTAATGTCTCTTCAGTGATGTGTGTATTTCATATCAGATCTTCATTTGGCAATTTTATTGGTGTAAACATGGTTACATGTCACCGGGTATTGCGTAGTATAGATATCCATTGATCGGTTCTGTATATAAAAAAATAAAAATAAACCTAATTTCAAACTATTCAGAAACAATTATAGTTATGACCATTATAAGATCTTTCATTTATTGTTTTAAATCGGTAAATAGAAATAGCAACATTCACGGGAATTTCCAGAAATCGACTTTAAATACACTGGGCTATTTTGAACTATAAACTTGCTTATGTGGAGGGTCTGCGGTTACAGTGCTTTTAATGTTCCTTCCAAATCTACAATATTTACAACAGTTTCTTCTAATTCAATATTTTTTTTTTAAACTAATTTTCAAACTATTCATTTTCCGCACGTCTTCATGCTTATATCTTGAATAAGAATTCAATGTTACCTATTCGGCCTTGATTCAGTATTCATGTTTTACTTCCAGTTGTTAATGATGTAAAAATAAATTGTAAGTAGAGTGCCCAATATCAAATAAACTTCCAAGTTAAAGAGTTACACGTAGTTATTGTCAGGTATATTTGTTACTATTTTAAACCCAAACCTCTGCATGAACACACCAAAGGCTCTTTCTACAATATTTCTTGTTTTACAATGAGATTTATTAGATCTGTGCTCCTGGGGGTTGGAAGGGTTTTTCAGTGGGGTTATCCGGGTATCCGGAATTATCAGCCGTCAATTATTTAAATGTTTTTCCATGTAA